CTAAATCGGTTCTTCAACGATCGCGCCATTGTGATAGGAGAATCGCACTAGCTAAGTGAAAAACTACCGACTTTCATATCATCAGTCAAGGATTCTAACACCGTTGACCACGGCCCCCATGTAGAATCCCCTCTTAGTAACGGTATCAGAGGGTTAAATCAGACGCTAAATTGTTAACAAGGTGGAAGAGTAAAAAAAGTCAACTGGTACAACATTCCACTGCAGAATTTGTGGCTACTTCAAAGAACGCCTCTGCTTAAAGTAGGTGCTAGCAAGTGCCACAAATGAGTGCTGATTACTCCAAACTTTCATATAAATGGGTGGATTATGCTTTAACACGCTTTTATCATTGGAAGCACTCCAACTGCATGAGCAACAAAGTACTGACAAAACAATTCAACTTGACTGTTTCAGTAGACTGTCAAGTTGGAATCCGGTCTGTGAGAAGAATCAAGATCGAGCTCGATCCTACTTCTACCTCTTTGTGAAATTGTCAACTATCCAGACAACTCTCCCATAACTGCATAATTGTCCCGCTACAGGTGGTAGTTCACCTTTGCTGCTTTGATTACTTCAAATCCCCACATCCCCAACCCCACGCATTCGTCTTATACTTACCAAAGTCTTTTAGTCAAATCAGGAATATTTGTTGGAAAATGAAAAACACTTAAGAGGCCATCGGTTACCCCTCTTGCATTCAAAGCTCTTTGGTGAGCTAAGTCGACACCAAACTTAATTTCAAGGCTAGGGTGCAGAAAACTGTCGAGACGTCACAGCTGTGAAGATGAGTGCCTACTTCTCGTCAACGATTCCGAAAAATCAAAAATGAGCGATTCATATGGTCAGGTAAGTGATAAGAGACAAGAAATAAGGAGCCCCTTGAGATAAGTGGCAGAGGTGATTGGGCGGTCCTCATTTCGGGCTGCAACACACCGCCACCTCCACCGTTTGGGGGAACGCATATCGGGTCTGGCCATGACTCAAGCACAGTTAAAGTGCACTTACGACCCAGACAGTAGACACTTGTCTTTCGTCAACCACGCTCAAGTCTTTACACATTCTGCTCTGTCTATATCCCTGTCATACATGGGAAGTGCATTTCCATGGCACCGACTCTCCATCCGAATCGCATTTTCCACAATTCCTTAAAAAATTGATCAACCTTAGAAAGCCTAAAGTGCGTGAGCCAGACCTGCGGCGCATACCAATGCACCCCATGCCATGACTCTACCAATTCGACGTCAGTCAGAACTGTGCGTCGTGGCAACATCTATCATCTTTGTGTTTATGTCCCAGTGGTAAGACCACCTCTCCATAACCTTACGGCACAATTACAAGTGACATCAACGTTATGCCGAATACAATCGACGTGTCACATATAGGAGACGCTTCTAGCAAATCTAGTAAACAAAGTGTGACGGAAGAAGTACTTCATGGCAATGTACGTCTTCACTTCAACCCATGTACCGCAGATAGGTAGTGTGATGAGAGACGCCTATCCCCACAGACTTGTCACTCTCAAGAGTAACAAAGCCGAGACGTTTGTGCGGCAAAACGATGGGGTTCTACTCAGCGCCGTAGTGCCGAAAGCGTTTCCTCAACGGCGTAAAATTTGTTCTCGCCGTGATATTACCAATAAAAACCGGCTTAGCTGTCAAAGGCGTTGCGGATGACGCTGACGTCCTCTAAATCCTCATCCCGAAAAATGAACGAAGACCAAAGTGCCAAGCATTCAAATCAGGTATATTTTTGCCAAGGCATTTTAATGCACCGTTACTGCGGGCAAACACCAAGCAAAATGTCCACTCCTTGCACCTCCAAGTAAATCAATTCCACGGTCTTGGCCAATTAGCAGAAGGCGTCTCGACTTTGTTTGGAGGCAAATGAGGTTGCATTACCAGCAGGCAGCACGCAAATTAGTCATTTCCATTGGAATCAAACAATTGCTTTTGTATAAGCTGCGCCATGTTCGGCAGCAACTCTTCTGTTGCCTGCCTAAAATAAAAGGAGCAATGAGGAACGCCTCTGCAGTGAAGAAGGCCACTAAGCCTCTGCGCATCTTTTCATCCCCTCTCACTTTGGCGACTGCTTCCAATTCAATAAAGAAGGTGCCAATGTTTTTCGCACTTAGAACGGACCAGAGACCATCAACAACCAACTGTTGATTCTTTCGGACGTCAGTGCTCAGACACCTTAAGCATGAAAGGTACCCAGTCGATTTGTTGGACGCATTTCGAAACGTCGTCTCCCAAAGGCGCCAACGCCACGTACAACTGATCGGACTACTTTAATTTCCTTGTCATTTAAACATACCAGCATTGCACGTAGCCACTGATTGTTTGATCTAGAATTTGCATATCAACGTTGCAAGATGGCACTAGTCTACCTACCTGGTGCACGACAACGTCTAGCCTGCGCTAATCGGAATTGGCATAAGTACTATTAAGGCATGATTGTGGTTGCAAAAATGCTCAATCTACTGGTGTGTAAAGTTCATCTGAATAAGAGCTACCACCAGAGATCTCTTAAAACAGCGGTTTGTGATGCAGCGATATTAAATGTGTACCCAGCAGGAAAAGGAGAGACCCAAAGAGAAAGGTCAAAAAAATCACTGATAGCGGGTTAGAAATGATTTAACAAATCACAAATAGGGTGGACGAAAAAGCCAACAACATAAGTATGGAGCAGGCCAATGAATACTAAGACGCGCAAATTTTTCACAGCAAATATTACAGCTACAAAACAACCTCATACACGTTTATAAGAAAAGAACAGTTCTCTACACTCATGACTCAATGCTTCCACATCGCAGCAGATGCGCTTTATTCTCGAAAAAGAAGCAATTTTTGGAAATCCAGAGGCAGAACCGTTAAACATTAACACTGGGTTACATTATTTCAATGTAGCAGAATAGTCTACAAACCATACACCCCTAATGCCAAAAAATAAATTCAACATATACATGTTAAGCAAACTAAGCATTTATTGTACCACAGTATTTGCGTGAGTGGAAATATACACCTCAATCTCTGTTGCGAGTAAAACAAAATGCAATACTGCTAAGTGTCTTTCATCTAAAAAAATGTTCTTAAAGGCTCATGAGTCAACGAAAAGAAAGTGTAATGAAGCATAATGTGAACGGAACATTCAAATAACTACCGTTAGCCAATCATTCCCCTACGAGTGTCGACACACACGAAATTTATAAATGTCCTTAAATATTTCAACTTGAACTAACAAATATTTCTACATGATATATACGAGGCTAAATCAACAAAGCAAATTTTAGTGCAACAAATGCTAAAAATACTCTTAAGATATTTATGGTTTAAACTTTGCATTGTTATGTGTGGTTAGGCTCTCGAAAACTCACATGTTGATCTGCTTGATGCGACTAAGCTGGCACATAAAGCGAATGCTCTAAATCCCAATTGCTTTACAAAATTTTATTTGAAAAAAAGGAAAGGTGTGCCTAACAGATGAGTGTGGCAATTGTAATTATAGATTTCCTGTCACAAGTTTCATGCCAATGCATCAAGAAACATTCCGTAGGAACGAGTATTTTAAACTTTAATTTTAGCATTTCAAAAAAAATGCTTCTTGATAAACTCAATGCTTGCCTACCATGATGAACTTTTAACCCTTAAAAGTAATGTTGTTGTTCCAATTTGCTAACATAACACTAGAATTAGTTCGTACAAGAAACGTATGTTGTTTCGAAAATATGCAGATGTAATACGATAGTGGTTTATCCGTCGGTATTGGTGAGGCGCCACTTTTGTACCTTGAACTAGCCCCTTGTACCTCGCTGGGTGGGCTGGCCTTTTGGGCCATGCCAATAGCTCAGACACCTTCTCAGCGCTGAATACATATTCTGCCCGAGTATTGTGGCCTCTTTCGTCTTCAGAGAAATCTCGGGACGCTACACAGATCATGTCGTTATTTATCAACATGTGCTGTCATTCTACCCACTTTTGCCTTGATTACCAAACGACTTTTGTTTCACGTCTAATTCTTGCGCCGAGTTTTTTATTTACTTCCACTCCCACTATCACTATATCATATGGAGACTTTGAGGGTGCTTTCTCTATGCTCCGCCCCTCATCTCAATAGCTTTTGCAGCTACATCTCTTTCCTGCTCCTTCAACACCTTTGACAGCAACCACTTTGCCTGTAATATTTATTAAGGTCTTTTTAAGGCTAGAAAGCCCGTGTTATGCTTAAGTCATACCAAACCACCTCCACAGTCGACGCATTGCAATTCCAATTTTGCTTTAAATCAAATTACCCTATCGACGAAATGCTTGGCACTATTCTCTGAGGGTTAATTTTGATCAAATCACACTTTGTAAGCCAACATTTTCACTGTGGTGTCGAGTCCCATTGATGAGGCTGGAAGTGCGAAAATGGGTCAAAGATGGGTGACACAGAAAGCAAAAGTAGGTGGTAACGGTTACATCACATGTTTCACGATGAACACAAACATTATGCGTTGTAGATAAGCATTTAAGACAGAATGTCCTCCTTATACTGGAAAGTTACACACACGAGGAGAGGAGACGTTGCTCTCGCCGGATGTTGGACTGCAATTGAATGCGTATTCATGGAAGTTAGCCAAGCTAATCACTGGTGGAAAATACAGAAACATAAGAAATGTCTGCAGCTGACGTCGTTGCTAAAGTAAAATCAAGTAGCCGATGACAATGCACCAAATTTTTTTATGAAAAATAAATAACTGCAGTAATCATCCTTCAGTGTTTCTTATGCCAAAGCTAGACAGAATACCACTTTTAAAATTCATTCCGATTTGAAGAGGCAGGGCAAATCTAGTCCATCGCAACTTTGATCCTCTTCACTTTTATTGGCCGGTGTCCACGTTTTTCACTCCACGATCATTTGATTGTCTGCTATCAAGAGATTTGGATAAAATTTGCACAGGCATGTGATGGATAGGGATTGGAGAGCACCTCTTTTTCATTTTATGCCAACTAAAGAGCAAAGCATATTATGAATGAAGTTGGAACTATCTTGGTTTGCATTGTGCGAATGAAACTGAAACCCGAGTTCAGCTCAAAATGAAGAAATGAATTTCAGCCATCCACTTCAGTAGTCAAAACAAATGTTTAAAACCTGAATTTCAAGACATTTCCTTAAAAATCAGCATCCTTTTCTATAGAAAAATATGTGTAGCTGAATCCTAAAAGCAAGATAGTTGCCAGAAACGTAGAACTACATGTTCATGTTTGTTATGGAGTTAGGGAATCAGCCTCCTTTGTCTTATGTCTCCCGTCTCCGGTCACAGGGTAATGTGCTACTTTCGAGGTTAACTTGATTGATGTCTAGGTGATTGCGGTAAGCCAATCCATTCCACTTAAACACCCCATTGCTTACCTTGCATTACGCAAAAGGAAAACGTCTACTGTGGATGGCAGATGACCTTGTAGATTTACGTAATGGAGTAGCTGTTGAGGCTCTATCCACTTCACTTCCAGCAGTCATCCCACTCTCGGATTCCATGCACCAGTCTGCTCAGATGTGTGTGAATCGCAGTCCATAGCTGTGACAACTGTAGTGCAGAGAGCATTCGATTTGGGAGCACTGTTTGCAAAGTGGACTTCACTTCCCATTGCAGCACTGCTGATACTTATCTGGTCTGCAGCACCGTACTGCATCAGAACACCGACGAGGTGGAGAGAAGAAATGGGTATAACCTTGCTTTACCAATAATAATACCGTAAATTACAATTAATGCAGATTAACGTCCACCTCCTTTCACTTAGAATGAAAGGGGTAAACTTAACACACCGCCATTGACTCCTTCATCTCCCACATCAATAGATGACTGCGGACTAATCGGTGTTGTGACAAGTGGAGCAGATTTCCTCTTGACTATGAACAATGCAAATAAATCAAGGGTACACCATTTCCATTTTTAGCTGGCCGCTGAAGAGTTTCAGAGGAGTGTCACAATTTGAGCTGAAGCCAGAAGCATTTCCTGCTAAATACACCTCATGCAATTCTGCACACAAAAGCCTCTACCACCAGCAAGTTGAAGGTGGTCGACAACATCATCCTCTTGCGGAAGGGTGCAGTGTGAAAACGAATATTCGTCTCTTGCAGACACATACTATACCTCCGCTTTAGTT